TGCCCGACGGCTGCCATGTCACTCCTACCGCGAGCTTGGCTTTATTCCAAGAAACCCGTGGGGCTGGGCTTCCCGGACTCTCAACGTGGTTGCAGCACCGTGAGGGAAGCGGCCCTTGGATGGGGGTACCAGGGCCCTTCTGGGAAGTGGAGAAGCCAGGGCTGTTCCCACAGGGATGGGAAGGCTGGGGTCTGGCTGGAGGTCCTGGGCAGGGGCACTGTGGGCAGCCTGGCTGCCCTCTCTAGGGTCAGCTTCCTACTGCCCCACCATGGGGTTCTGTGAAGCCCTTGCCTGCTGGAGGAGCTGAGGGTGCCCATAACCTCCCAGGGCCCTGGTTCCCCCTCCCCTTCTGCACCTTGTGCTGTCCAGGAGCAGTGATGCTCCTGCTGGTTGGGGGCTGCTGTGCCCACAGTGCTGCTCCCACCCTGTCCCTGGCGCAGGGCTGGGAGTCACCGGTGCTACTGGGAGCCCTGACATCGGGGATGTGCCTCATGGGGGATGTGCCTCAGCAGGGCCTGGCGGGCAGCCACCTGTGTGCGTGGACATTCCTCACATAGTTGCAGCGGGTGGCCAGGCAGGCCATGGCACTTCCTGGCAGCCTGTGTGCCATGCTCCTGCAGAGCAGCACCAAAATAGTCACTGGGACTGTGCCATGCCCACAGCCTGAGGCGGCACACTCACCATCCCTCTGCTCTGGGGTGATCCCTAAGGAAAGCCTTTTCCCAGCAGCTGGGGTTCCCCAGAGGGAGAGCACAGTGCACGATGCCAGGCATGATGCCCACAGTGCAGGCCTGTGGGTGCCAGAGGGGCCGGGAAGCACAGGGCGCCTGGGCACAGCCTGCTTGTCACAGCCGGGGGCTCTGGGAAGGTTGTGACGGGCTGACCCCCTCCCAGGGGATCGCTCACATCCGTGGATGCAGCTCCCCAGCTGGGCACTGCGCTGCACACCAGTGAAATGGAGCTGCAGGTTTATTCCCATCGGCTGTGTCGTGCCACCAAGGGACTGTTTGTGGTTACACCACGTGCGCGAGCCAGGAGTGGATCCCGTCCCCGCGGCTCGGCTCAGACATACCTGAGTGCTGGGGCAGTGCTTACGCAGACAGAGGGGCTGAGTCACTGTGGCGGGATCACCCGGCACGGACAGCGGCTCCAGGAAACGGCGCTTACGTGGTGTAAACACATCCCGGCATTGTGCCGGGGCCGAGTGGCCCCAGGGGTGCAAGAGAAAAATCAAACCAGATCTGAGGTTTTTCATTAAAAAATAGTGCTCTTTATTATAAATTATGGAAACATTTCCTTTCTAAATATAAATATAAATATGTGCAAAGTTTCATCTGAGTTTGGTTTTGGTTGAATTTTCAAGCATGGTTTTGCTCAGCCCTCAAGGCTGGAGGTGAAGATGGAATCTTTATAAAAGACAGTGATTCACGTTGGCCTGTAAACATCCCTTCAGTTAAAAAAAATAATAAAAATTAAAAAAAAAAAAGCGAGAAAAACCCAACCACTTCTCTGGGTGGATGCAGAAAAGCACTCATGAGACGACATGCTCCAGGGGATCCTCCCACCACGTTCCTGTGGGAATCAGTGCCCCATGGAGCAGCGTGGCTGGGGTCTGTGGGAGCGCTGAGCAGAGGTGGGGTGCAGCTCCTGGTAGTAAGGGCCCGGGGTCCCCAGGGTGCTCCTTGCAGACACGGTTGTGTGGGACTCAGCAGCGTTGGGATGTGCCACTTCCCCTCTGGCTTCACAGCACATCAGCAGGACTTTCATCACGCAGCGCCACCAAATGATGTGCAGTAACCCAGATTGCGGGACAGGGAGAATATTAAGGCTTAGTCCCCTGGGAAATGGCAACGAGGGAACAAAGGCAGCAACCTCCAAGTCTGGGGCCTGGTGTGAAAAGAGCTTCCACCCACAAGGAGGCAGTAAGAGGTAAAGTACAGTATGGGCAAAAAACACCTTCCCCTTAAAACCGAGGAAAAGCGATCAGGCACTCCTGGGCTCCAGTGCTTTCAGTTCCTGGGGGCGGAAGGAGCTCTCACCAGGACACCACCAGGATGGGGCTGCCGAAGTGCTCATTCCTCTGTGTCACGGGAGCCATCCTGGCTGCCCGGGCCCACAGGAGCTTTGCCAATGGGCTCACTGTAACATCCACAGTCCGTCTGGAGCCATCCCCCTTCCCTGTGGAGAGGAGGTGTCGTGCTTCCTCGGGGGTCCCCCCAGCACCAAAGGTGGCCAGCTGTGCTGGCCACAGCCCTGGGCCCACGGCGGCTTTCCCCAGTCCCCCTCATCTCCTTCCCAGAGGGGGAGGCTCAGCGTGCCCTGTGAGCTCCCACACTGGTGGGGCATTGTGCCTGTCCCTTGCTCTTGTGCTTGTAGCGTGTGACCTTGCTCTGCCGGCCCCTTAAAGGGGAGCATCATACTGGTCCAGGAACTCCTTGATGGGGGCCGGCAGCTGAGTCATCTTTTCATAGGAGTCCAGGTGCCCGTTGACAGTCTTGCGGCAGAGGTGCTGCAGGGTGGAGACGCTAGAGGAGAGCGGGCGGCTCAGCACCAGGGGGATCTTTTCGCCACCTGAGTAGATGTAGTAGGTGCGCTTGGGGTGCAGGGCCCCCCCTGACTGCTCAGGGACAGTGCAGGGCGCGGGTGGCATGTAGTGATGGACCAGCTTGAGCACACAGTCAAAGCGGGGCACGGGCTGGCTGCTGTGGGGGTCGCTCTGCAGAGAGAAGCTGCCACCCTCACACTGGATGCGCAGGTTCTTGGTGCCTGACTCCGTCTTGACGCTGAGGGTGAAGAAGTGCCGCTGGTCTGAGCTGTCCCTGATGAGGAAGGTGCCGGCTGGCTCGGTGCTCAGCAGTAGGTTGGCCTCGCCACCCGTCACTGTGCTCCAGTAGAAGCCACTCTCCTGCAGCTTGCGCACGGTGTTCACCACCAGCTGGTACTCGCTCTTGGAGCTGAACGTCTTGAGGCGCAGGCTGGTGTCGAGGGGGTGGCTCATCCCGGCAGCGGGGAACTTGCTGTGGGTGACCATGGCGCAGGGAGCCAGCTTCGCGTGCTTGGGGTGCTGCTGCCAGCAGCAGCCGCTGCTACACCATCACCTGCGGCAGAGACAGCGGTGAGCCACGGCACCTCCGTCCCCGACTCTCTCTTCCCTGGAACGTATGCACCCTCGGTCCCTGGCTCTTGTCCCCCGGCATCTCCGATTCTACCTTTCCACGACACCGGCACCACCGATCCCCGTCTCTCCCTTCCCGCGGGCACCGGCAGCTCCCGTCCCCGTCTCTCCCTTCCCGGGGAAGCCGGCAGCTCCCATCCTCGGCTCTCCGCTAGCCGGGGGCACCCCTTCTGCCGGTCTTCTGCTCTCACTCTCCGGGGGACATCGCTACCTCCGGCCACCAGCTATCGCCCCGCTGGGGCGCCAGCATCCCCGGTGATCCCCTTCTCTGGGCAGCAGCGGCAACCCCGGTCCCCGGCTGCCCGTTCCCAGCAGCACAGGCATCCCCGGCCCCGGCTGTTACCCCGCCGGAGCGCCAGCATCCCCTGCTATCCCCCTTCCCTGGGCAGAACCGGCATCCCTGGTCCCCGGCGATCGCCTCCCCGGAGGTACCGGCTTCCCCGGTGGCGGGCTGTCCCCCCTCCTTCTCCAGGACCCTGTCCCTGTCCCGTCCTCCCGGGGACGTACCTGGGGCGCGGGAGCCGGTCCGGCGGCGGAGCGAGGCCGGTGCGCGGCGGCAGAGCTGCTGGGGCGGCCCGGGGCGGCCTCTTATAGAGGGCGCAGCGCCCGCCCTCGGGTTCCTGGAACTGCGCGGCTTCTTGTAACGCGGCGGCACCGCCCGCGCCCCGCCTGGCCCGGCCCGGCCCCCCGGCGCCCCGCCAGCCCCTGCTCCGCCAGCCCGGCCTCGCCGGCCCCCGGCCCGGCCCCGCCAGCCCATTCCGGGCAGGGCGGCCGCCCCCGCCCCTCCGCGCCCTGCTCTGCGGAGAAAGGGAGAGCCCCGGCCCGCCTGCCCTCCCCCGGGGGCCCCCGCTACCCCCCGCCTCTTCTGGGGCGCCAGGACCCCGGTCCCGGAGAGGGGTTTGGGTTCGGCTGACGGGGGGTACACCGGATGGGGATACAGGGGAGGGGGTGGGTGACCCCGGGGGGTGAGTTCAGCGAGGGGAGACACCGGAACGGGAGCTGCCGCCGTGCTGTGGGGCAGCGGGTCCCACATCCCCACGTCGCCAGCCCTCATTCCCAGGCCAACGTGCCGGGCTGGCGCCAGCGTCGGCCGCGCTCCCCGGGGGACCCGCGGGGCAACACGGGGAAATCCGCTCCCGGGACTGTGCGGGGGCTCCCGGCTCCGCCGCGGTTCGGCCATCGCGCTCGAACCCTGCTCCGTGCGGCGGCTTCGAGAGCCCCGCGACGCTTCGTGGGGTCGGTGCTTTGGCCGGCCTGGGGGGCCATGTGGGCTGGTGTGGAGCCCGGTGGGACCGAGACCCCCCTGATCCTCGCTGCCCCCTCGGGGCTCTGTCCGAGGGGGTCCCTCGCCCCTCCTCCCTGCCCCCCGGTGGGTGGAGCGGGACCGGGGTTCCCCTCCCCACCCGATTTCTCTGCATTTGGCATTGGTTACGACCTCGCACACAGACCGGTCTCGGTCCGTGGGTTTATTTTAAATAGTTTAATTTTCCCCGGAGGAGCTGCCGGTGCCCGGCAGGGACCAACCCAGCGCTGCAGTTCTGGGAAGCGCCTGCGGCGAACGGGCTGCTCCGAAATGCAAACGAGCCCCGGAGCGCTGCCGGGGCGGGCAGGGGACACCGGGGGCGGGCCGGGGCGGCTCCGGGGCCCCAGGGTGGGAGCGGGCGGGGGGACCTGCGGTCCCTGGGCTCCGCCTCGCCCTGCCCGCTGTGGGGGGACACGAATCCGACGGGGGGTGGGGGTAGGGGGGGTGCGGGCGCTCCCCTCCACCATCGTCCCGAGGGGCGGCGAGCGCCGGTTCCGCCGCGGGCAGGAGCCGGGTCCGTCCTTTCGGAGCCCCTCGGCCGGGCCGGGGCTCGCCCCGGGGGGAGGAGAAGGGAGACCTGAGTGTGACACGGATCGGGCCGTGCGTGAGCCCGTCCCACCTATACGGGGACCAGGGGAGCCTCGTCCCGGCCCCGCCGGATACCGAGCCCTTCCCGAGCGCCCCCTGGCCCCGTGCCTGGGCCGGGATCCCCCGGCAGGCGCGGGCCGGGCCCGGGCGGGGCGGGCGCAGCCCGGCGGCGGCAGAGGAAGCGGAAGGTGGTGTCGCCATGGCAGCGCGGAAGCGGAAGGCGCGGGCGATGGCGGCGGGCGGCGTGGTGCTGTGGCGGCGGCTCTCGGCCTGGCTGCCTCCGGCTTGGCTGCCCCGCGGCCGCCTCGGCCTGTCCGCGCTGCTCGGCCGCCTCTCTGACCGCCTCTCCCGCGGCCGCGACCGCCGCGCCCGCAGGTAAGGACCGGCCGGGCCCCGCCGGCTGCCCCGACTGGCCCCGGGGCCGGGAGGTGTCGCGTTACCGGGGCTTCCCCGCTCGCCGCTTCCCTTTTCTGGTCCGGCCGAACCTCTTGGAAGTGCTGCGGATGGGGAAGGGGGCGGCCCGGCTCCACCTGCCCGGAGTCGGGTCCGGCTCTGCTCCGCAGCCCCCTTTAGCCCACCCCACTGTCCGATCGCCCTTAGGGCGACAGGTGAGTTTCATTTCTCCGTCAGTTCCTGTTTTCTGTCGCTCGGGCGCTGGCCGGGGCCAGGCTCCCCTCGGCTGTCATAGGGGCAGCACAACCCGCGCGGGCCGGGGGGTCGAGGAGGGCGAGACCCCCCCGCGGAAGGGACCGAGAAGAGGTGTCGGTCCCGGCCGTGCCAGGCAGAGAGGGCTGAGGGGCAGGGGACGCTCTGCCTGGCGGTGTCACCACGGTGGTGGAGTAGATGGATCATCAGTATGCTCTGTGTTCTTGGTTAAACCAAGGAAATTCTTCCCACACCTCTCTTGGTCTCATCAGTATTTTTAGTATATTTAGATAAATGAGACTGAGCCCTGGAAAGCGACTACTGAGTTCGAAGAGCAACAGTGCAGATCCCCATGTGTGCGTGGGTGAAAGGACAGCGCCGTGTCCCACAGTTTCACTTCACCTCTGGCTCTGCAGATGGGGTTTGATGGTGAATAAGAGTTTCAGCTCCGTTGTGGGTGTCTGTACGAAAGCCATGTCTTTAAAAATAGAACACGCACCAAAAAATCCCTCATTTCTATTTTGGGTCAGCTTTTTATGCAGAAGTGGTCTGAGGTGGTTCCTTTTGGTTCCGTTTTCTCTTTTCGGTTTCCTCAGTGATGTGGAGCAGGGATGGGAAGGGCTCCCCCACCCCATTTTCTGTTCTTCTGAAACCTGGTTTGTCACAGTTTGGAATTTTGATGATTTCTTCATAATGTTATGTGGTTTCTGACAGTTGTGTATGCAGGGTTGGAGGGACTGCTGGTACTTGGGTACTGAGCTGATGTCAGTCACCAGCGGGTAGAAGCTGCTGCTTTGGGAGCTGGTTGCTGTGCCAGTGGTTCTGTGGCTGGAGCAAAATACAGATTTATCTGATAATTCTAGAAGAGAGTAGGCTCCCAACACTGAATAAGGTGTAAATTTCAGTATTGGGTTAAAAAATCAAACAGTGTAGACACATTGTAAATTCTGTAGGCACAAAAAATATCTGGAGGATGGAATTAGTGGCGATCAACTGAATTGCACAGAATTAATCTGAAGGCTCAAACCTTCAGAAACACAAAAACAGTGGTGGTGCTGCTGGTTGGTGTTCCTCCAAATGCTCCAATCAGAGCCCAAACGCTCCAAGCACAGCCTGCAGCCCCCAGAGCTGCCCCAGGCAAGGCAGGCAGGTGCAGGGAGGCAGGTGTAGTCGGACTCGCAATTCCAGTAGTCCTTGCCAGAAGATGGCTTCTGGGAATCACGTTTCTGGAAAGCGTCTGCTTGGTTACTGGTCTGGCTTCTGAAAGTGTAATTCGATTGGCCAGTGGCATAATGTCTACAGTATTCATCTCTGTTGATTTTTATTGTAAAATACATAAAATTTACCACTGCTTCCTTACTGGGAATAATTCCAGAGGATGTTGTTTGTGACCCACGGGGCCAGGTTAGAACCTGACTGTGCCACTGCTCTGTGGGCCAAGCATTCGGTGCATTTAAAAAACCCATATTTCTGGATCCAGTGTGAATCCCTGTAGTTCTGTGTGCTGTGCTGCCTCGTGATGGTGGAGCAGTGGAAATCTGTTCCCTGTTTGTGGCCTGTGAGATGTGACATGAGCAAAGGTCCTACTCAAGTTCTGTAGAGGCTGACGAGAATGTGTCTGAAAAATGGTATTTCTTGTGTTTCTGTTCTGCTTTGATATTTCTGGCACCTTTTAGGGGATATTTGCATTGTTTTTAAAATCTTGTGCTGGTGATCTGTGTCACTTCTGGGTGTGCAGGCTGAGGCCAGTCCACATGATCTGTTGAAACCCGCCATCCCAGGAATTCCTGCGCAGATTGACTCAGATTTTGGTGGCGATGAATAGTTAGTGACAAACTCGTGGATTTTCCAGGAAACACCACTGCAAGTTGGTTTCCTTGTAAGGGTGTTTGGAAATCTTGTGAAGATCCAGGGTTGTATCATGAACCAGATGAGTGAAATCATCTTCCTGGAATCTGTGGTCATTTGGGCTCTGGACTGTGGTAAAACCCAAAAGTTCCTTGTAACAAATTCTGGTAAAGGTTGTAATCAAGTTTCTTCGTGGTGTGTGGTGGCAGTGGAATCATAAGGATGTGCCACAGGATGGTGGCTGCCTGCTGTTCCTCGGGTCAGACCAGCCACTCCAATCCCGTCCCCACAGCCCGGCTCCCGCAAGCAGGGTTTGCAGACTGGAACGATTCCTGTCGGGTCTGGGGATGCAGTTCAGTCCCTTGCTCATGGATTCCTGGATCTCATGGGAAGTGCTGCTGCTAATTGTGTTGAAATGTGGTTTTGTCATGTGGACAGAGTCCTGCTGGGGGTTCTTGTATGACTGGATGAATTTGTATGTGTGAAACCTCTGGAGAGAAAAAGTTGCCACTTGCTTCCTGTCACCCCCAGCATGACGCTGGCAGCAAGCTGTTTTTCTCCTGGAGTGATTTCAAGGGAATTAAATTTGTTCTGAAGTGTCTTTTTGAAGAATGAGCTTTCTGCTGTTTCCCTCACAGTTTTGTGAGGTTTGCAAGGGAAGTCGTGATCCTCTCCTGTACCTGTGTGGAATGCTGGCAGCATTGATGGAGAGGGATGGATCCCTGTGGTGGTTCGTGGCGTGTTACTGCTGAGATGCACTTGCTCCTTTCGTGGGTCATTCTTGAGGTGTGACTGCCCTGTCTTTGCTGGGGCTTGTGCTGGGGCATCTTGTGTGCTGCAGTTCTATTTTTGGATAAAATTAAGGGATTGAGGCATTTTATACTTTAGAGCAGTGTGTTCTTTAAACATCTTTACCTCAAACAGGAACAACTTCAGTCCAGCTGGGAATGAAGCTGGACATGAGGGGAGTGTTGGCCATGGCCAAGCTGATGCATGTGTAATTCAGAAGTGGCTGATTACAGGTACAGGTGGTACCACTGTAGCACCCACACCCTCAGTTTCTGCAGCTCCCAGGCTCCTTCCTTTCCTATGTTGTCCTGAAGAAGGAGTTGTTTCTCCTCATCTCTCTACCAGCTTGGGGAAAGAGTTGGTGATGTTCAGATCTGTTCTGCCATCTTTTGCTTGTGTTTCTGTTTCTACATTTGGCTTTGGTGATCCAGCTGGGATTACAGAAAGGGAAAGGCATTCTTGCCACTGTGGATCCCTGCCATGTATTGGCCCTGGCTGTGGCTCTTTCTTTACCTCCTTGGAGGCTTTGTGGGAAGCAAAGCCTCCACCATAAAGAATTTCTCCATCTTTCTTTCCACAGATCATCATGGCTCCTTCTAGCCCCGCTGCTCAGCCCTCCTGTTCCAGTGATCACAGCCCCACCATGTTCACTCTGTCCAGAAGGAGCACACAGGTTCCAGTGGATCAGGAATCTGGTCCCAGAGTTTGGGATCTCCAGCTCACACGTCAAGGTGCTTTCGTCCCCTTCAGAATTCTATGAACTCCTGAAGGTAAGGCTCCAAGTTATGGGAATGGTTTTGATACAGTCCCAGTGTTGCAGCTGCTACCAAGTAACTGCTCTTTTAGGGAATAGTTTTAGCTGCAGGGAATGAGTTCCTCAGTTTCCCAGGAAGCACTGATTTCTTCCTTGAATTTTGGATGCAGCAGTGGTGCTGCTGTGGCTCTGCAGAGCCCTGTGTTTCATCCCTATCCTTGTGTCACCCTTTCCTCCCTCAAGGCCGGGGAACCAGTGTGGAGATGTGGCTGAAGTGATCCTCCTGGGGCACCGCTGGGCCTAGGCTGATGGCTCCTGGGGACCCAGCGTGAAACTGAACTTGTTTTCTGCTACTCCCAGGTGCAGATCAAAGCAGCCAAGCAGCGGGTGGTGATGGCCTCACTGTACCTGGGAACAGGGCTCCTTGAGCAGGAGTTGGTGAGTGTGGAAGGGTTTGGGAAGGGCAGGAAGGGAGTGCAGGGGAGGGATGTGGGAGGGAGGCACTGGGCATTTCTGGTTTAGACCTGGTACAGAGCCAGGGAACTGCTGCACTTCTTCAGGGGATGGTGAGCCTGGGCCTGTTAGAGGGGACCGGCCTGGTGTTCACAGTGCTCAGGGGGCTTTTCAGAACCTGTGTCATAGGAATCTGTTTTTCCTTGGCATTTTCTTGAACATGATTCAAACTGTAGGTGTAGAGTGCTGTGTTGGGTGCTCCAGGTGCAGAACACAATTCAGGATTGTCTTTCTGCATGAGACCAAGGTCAGCTTTGCATTTTCTGTTCTTCCCTCTGGAAACAAATCATTGTTGCCAGGGGCTTTAGGGAGAAACCTGGCCTTGGTCAGGTTCTGGTGTTAGGATGCAAATTCTCTGGCAGTGCAAAGGTGGACAGAGCCTGCACAGAATTTGTGCCCAGCTTTGTCTGCGCTTGCACACAGGATTTGAATTTGCATGTGACAAACAGCCTTGTAGTTAAAGAATAAAACAGCCTCTGCAGTGAACTCCTACGAAGGTTTGTCTTTGGTGATGCAATCTGTGATTTGGGAATGATGTTGGGATTTTTTCTGCTAACATTAATTGCTCTTGGGAGGCCTGAAGAATGTGGGCAAGTAAAACTGAGGCCTTTTGATCTGTGGCTTTAGGCTGACTGAAGCTGCCAGGCTCGCAGAGGCTGAACCGGCTGTGTTTGGCACAAGAAGGAAGGACTCACACCAGGCCGTGGGAGCTGTCCTGGCCACAACCTCCTGCTGCTGAGCACTTCTCTTGGAAAGCTTTATTTGCTTTTGTAATGAGGAGAACTCTCTCTGCAGGTGGATTGCTTAGAAGAAACGCTGGAGAAATCGCTGGAAGCAAAAGGCTCACCTGACCTCAGAGTTTCCATTCTCCTGGACTATACCAGGGGCTCCCGGGGTAGGAATTGTGCTTTGCTTTTGTCAGAGCCTGATTTTACTGTTAGGCTGGAGGAACTGTTTTTTCATAGAGGCTGTCTTGGCCAATTGGACATACTTGCTTAAATCATGCACCTTTCAGTATTTGCCTTTTGCATTCTAGAACTGCATATTCCCAGAAAATCTTCAATCTTAGCAGCTTTTCTTCCAAAAATAGGTGATAGGAGCAAGAAGGGCCAAACTCCTCTGTTCAGCTTATGTGTTCTTGCTTGGTTCACTTGTCAGTGCATTTGCCCTTATACCTCATGCTCACTAACATTTCCATTTTGAAAGGAGAGTGGGAATTGTTGGAAGCAGCACGCCGGAACCTCTGCAGTGACTCTTGCAGATGTGTTACCAGTGCTGATGAGGCATGATTAAGAAGCTTGAAAGGTGTCAGACCTGCTCTGTGACTGATTCCAAGGCCCATTCATCCATGAAGTTCTGGATGTTGGTTGCAGTATTGATGTAGTGCAAATGAAAGTGATTTGGAAAAAAAACAAAGAAAAAAGGGAAAACCAGTGAAGTGCCAGTGAATGGGATGGGATGGGTTGGGCGCTCACCTTGTAACTGTAACTGTAACATGGAGGTGTGAAATGATGTGTCCCATCTGTGTGATCCTTGTATGAAACTCCCTTTCTCTCCCAGGCAGGAAGAATTCTCGGACAATGCTGATCCCGTTGCTGCAGCGATTTCCTGAGAAAGTCCGTGTGTCCCTCTTCCACACCCCAAACTTGCGTGGACTCCTCCGGCTCCTGATTCCAGAGCGTTTCAATGAGACCATAGGGCTGCAGCACATCAAGGTGTATCTCTTTGATGACAATGTGATCCTGAGTGGGTGAGTCCTGCTGCCGTCTGCTGGCATGGTTCCTTTTGCTGGGATTTGGGCAGGGTGTCTGTGCTGCCAGAGTTATCTGAACACCTGGACTTTCCACCGGGATCCTATTATTGCTCTTTGGAGATGGGAGAGCAACTGCAGCTCTTGTTTATGAGATTCTCAGATGGAAGAGAGTCTTTCTCAAAGGGAAAAAAGAAAGATCTCTTGGGATTCCAAAGGAAACGGACAATTTGTGCTTTAGTGCGGTTATCGCAAAGTAAGGCTGGGGGGTTGAGGATTCCTGTGCCCACACTCTGAACTCGGTTCTTCCCTTTCTCTCCAGTGCAAACCTGAGTGATCTGTACTTCACCAATCGGCAGGACCGCTATGTCCTGCTGCAGGACTCTCCAGAGATTGCAGACTTCTTCACGGAGCTTGTGGATGCGATTGGAGACGTGTCCCTGCAGTTACAGAGGGATGATACAGTCCAGATGATGGAGGGGATGGTACACCCATACCGAGGTAGGAGAGAGCTGTCTCACCTGGTTGAGTGATGGTATCCAGGGGAAGGGAGTGACAGCTGGGATTTAAGGATGACTTGAATTCCATCCACTTGGGAATTTCTGGGTGCCTGACCGTTGTTCAGATTGTGGGGTTTCCTGTTTTGTGCCATCCAGTATTAAAATCAAGTTTGCTCAAATTTCAAGACTGGGTCTGTCGGAGTTTTCCCAGCACAGTGGCTGTCACAGGCTAATCCAGCAGGGCACACAGAGGCTGGAAGTAACTCTGCAACTGTCTCAGTGCTTCCTCATAAATGTGCTGCTTTTAGCCTTAAACAAGAACTTTAATACCTTGAGAGGTTTTTCTGATATTAGCAGCTGCAGTTTCGGGTGTTCTGGGTGAGTGCGTGAGCGGTTCATGAATGTGGTACTATTGTTGGCAGTTAATATTTTGTAGTAGAGTTTGTTCCTGGAATCAAATGGGAATTGGATCAGGAAGACCGGGAACAAGCACAGAAGTGGGCAGAGAAGGGCAGCCATGTGCCAGGCTGATTGCGTCATCAGGTTTTGTCCTGGCCTTGCACTGCTGGGTGATGTAAGCGTATTCTGGGGGTGGGGGTTTCTTTGTGTGTTCCAGCTCATTCTTTGTTGCCAGTTTAGCCTTGTCCTGATCCTTTCCTTTCTCAAAGGATTTTTCAGGCTGCTACCAGTTGCTGAATATTTCTCTTCTGTGACGTAGCTCTGCCAACCTTGAAACAGCTGTTTTGGGCCTCAGGACAGAGAGTCGTGTCCGCTCTGCGTTGGCTCCTGTTTGTTCCCATATAGGTGTCCTGACAGTGTTTTTCCTGGTATGTAATAGGTGAAACATAGCTCTGTGCCTGTAGGTCTCAGACATCATCTCTTGGCATTTTCCTGCAGGAGACAAGGTTGCTTACTGTGAGATTGCCAACCGGAGGGTCATGGAGGTCATCAACTCTGCCCGGACACGGCAAGAGCTCCTTCATACCAAGACTTTCCACAACAACCATGCAGGCAGCTCCCTGTTATCCCAGCAAGGCTCTCAAGCATCTGGGGGTCTGAAACCAGAACCTGACACCTGGATCTATCCATTAATCCAAATGAAACCTTTTGGTATTCAAATAGATGAGATGGTCACAGAGACACTGCTGACCGAGGCTGAGCGGGATGCCAGGATATACCTCACCACTGGCTACTTCAACCTGACTCAGGCCTACATGGACCTCATCCTGGGCACGAGGGCCGAGTACCGGATCCTCCTGGCCTCGCCAGAGGTCAATGGGTTTTTTGGTGCCAAGGGGGTAGCAGGTGCCATCCCTGCTGCCTACGTTTACATTGAACACCAGTTTTTCAGCGAGGTCTGCTACCTGCAGCAGCAGGAGAGGGTGCAGCTGCAGGAGTACTCCCGGCCCGGGTGGATGTTCCATGCCAAAGGTAAGATGTTATTGCAACGGGACTTACTCAGAGGTATGTCAGAGCTGTGTGTTTGGATTGTGCAAGGAGAAAGGGTCTGGCTGAGTGCCAGTCTGGGCTTAACCTTCAAAACACTCCTTCAAGGTTTGAACAACTTGGTTGCGTAAACCTGAAGGATTTGAATTGCTTGGGGGACAACTGTGCAGTTGTACCTTGCCTCTGGATTTCTGGTTTGATACAGCCCCAGGGATGATGCAAGAGCTGTCCCTGTGTGGCATGGAGGCACTGCCTGGATGAGAAACATGATGCAAAGAGAAGGAAGCATTTGGATGTGTTTATGATGCAGTCAGGGCTGTGGCCTGTTTCTCATGTCCTGTGGTCTGGTTTCAGCAGTCAGGAGTGCAGGCTCTGCTGGGGACCCTGGAGCAGGATCTGGGACAGGGGAAGGAGGGGACCTGCTCCTGAGGCCACCCCGGCAGCCCTGGCCGCCGTGTTCCCTTGGCAGCAGGTCTGGGGGATTTGTTGCAGCTCCTGTGCATGGCACACAGGGGTGTGGTGTGTGAGGAACCGCGGAGTGTACATCTGAGAGTCAGGGCAACCAGAGGGGAAGGGGCTAAGGAAGGAACATGGAGTGACAGATGCAGTGAGTTAATGAATGATGTCCTCGGGGTCTTCTGTAGGAGACCCCACATTCCTGCTGGATACAGTGTGCCCAGCTCTCACAGGATCATCACAGTGCTCGATTGGAGTGTTTGGCTGTGAACTGGAGCATTTGAGTTGGGATAAGAGCATTTTGGCTATGATTGGCTGTCACTGGAGAGGTTCCTCTTTTGGAGAGCAGCTCTTAATGGTTGTGAGAATGCCTTCATGTCCCTGCTTCCCACATGGATACTCAGAGGAAGGAAGGTTCAGAGGTAGTGGGGAGGGAAAGCTGCTGAGTCGGCCTTCTCTTGACTTGAAAATCCACAGGTGTTACCGGCTGCCTCTGTGTTGAAACCACAAACAGATCTCAGGGTGTCGTGCTCCTCCTCAGTGCTATCGGGAACTCAGCACAAGGAAGCCCTTATCTCAGGCAGGGCAACCCAAGGGAGGTGCCTGCCCACCTGCCTGGGGTGTCCTGTGTCCTCCAGGAAGAACTTGTTCGAGCAGTGTGTGGTTGCATGTTTTCTTGGCATCGCTGACTGCCAGTGGGATGTGATTTGGCATGGATTGAGGTTGGAAGCGTGGGCTGCTTTTCTCAGCTACCAAAGAGCATGTGGCCATCGGTCCTGTTTGGACCAGCTGTCCCTCCTGGGGTAGTGCTTTGGGCTCTCTCTGGTGTGTGGTGTTCGCTGGGAGAGGGATGCAGGGCTGGGAGTTCAGCGGCTCCAGTGCCTGGCAGGGTGACAGTTGGAGACATTTGCTCCATGTTTTCGTTCCTCTTCAGAGTGCTAGAAGGATCAGTGTGTAGCTCCTTCTCTGGCATGCTCTGCACTTGGCAAATGCTTTATTCACTGGGTTTCCTTCTGCAGGAGTCTCATGGTGTGTGTGGCAGAGAGGACAAGGATGGAAGAAGGAAGGCAGAAACCTTGGAGATATGAAGAGCAGGTGTACATGGAGCACATGGAACCTGGCTTCTGGCCGAGGACATGAGATCCCCAGCAGCCAGTAGTGCCCACTGGTGCTTTCTCTGTGGGCTGAGACATGAGGCACCCTTTAGTCTCCCACAGGATCTGGCTGACATACCTTAAACCCTGTAGCTTTGCTGCAGACCCCTCCTGCTCCCCTTAAAGCATTTACATCTGCACAGACAGCATCAAGTGGTGTGTCCCCAGGGATGCCTGTCCTCAGGGATGACTGTCCTGGGTGTGTTTGGTGCTGTGCAGGTGTAGCAGAGCACAGCACAGGTGTGACAGCACCGTACAGGTGTAGAAGAGCTCTGCACAGCCATGGTGCACGTGTGAGCAGGACTGCCAGCAGCTGTCGTGGTGTGACACCCTGAAGCCTACCTGTGCTCTGCTGTGTTCCCAGGCGTGGTGGTATGAGTGACATGGGTATGTCCCTTGGGTTCAGAGTCTCTTCCAGGCAAGTGCTGGTGGCAGGGTGCTGGGCATGTGGCTCTGTGCTGAGAGATAAACCCTGTTACTGCTATTGACTGGTGCTGGGAAACTGCACTTCCCCTTTCTGGAAAGGTGAGTCACTGTTTGAGCAGATCCTGCCAGGTGGCCATAAAAACAGTGCCACAGGACACTTGGGAAGGTGAGGAACCTGTTCCTTGTAGTTACTGCCTGGGCAGAGGTCTGACCAGCAGCTGGTCAGGCACTGAACAGCTCCTGGCAGGGTCCTGTTTGGTGACAGAACATGCCAAATCTCTGTGCCACACGGGTGCTCCCCTGGGCTCCCAGAGCCCACGATGGGCTCTCTGGCCCCTCTGTGGTGGGGTGAGCCCGTAGGGGCCGGAGATGCTGTGGCCTTAGGGCAGTGCCAGCTCCGTGAGTGTGTGCTGTGGGGGCGGGGAGGAGGTTACAGGAACTGGCGGTGAATCGGCAGCGTCTTACTCAAGGCATTCTTGGAACTGCTCTGGGGCTGAGTTAGGAAACTTGCTGCTATTTTAAGGCTGAGGTGGTTTTTATGCTACGGGTTCTTTGTTGCAGTTTGTGACTGGCCATGGGGATAAGCCTCTACCAGGGACCCACCCAGGGCTGTGCTGAGGAGAGCAAATGCTTCCTGTCTCCATTTGTGCACAGAGTGGCCATGCAGCCTCTTCTTGGCAGCAGTCCCGGCTCTCCTGTGGCTGTTCCTTCCTGCCCTGCTGCAGTGGTGTGTTTGGGAATAATGTGTTGTTTCCATCTTTGCCTTGAAAATCCATCCTGGGCTGTGTCCTGACTGCTCTCTGTGCGGGCAGAGCTGTGGGAGCTGTGATGGTGAGTGGCTGCAGGGACCAGGTGCCCTGGGAAGAGTCTGATCTCATCCCGAGTGGCTCCTCAGGAAGTGAGGGAGTGAAATAATTTGCACTTCTCTTCTGAGTCTCTATTTCATATGAATTCACCTGTCAGAGCAGCCTCTGCATGTTACAGTCCCAGGAAAGCAGTTGGTCTCTGGGACAGGCTGGACAGGCCTGTTTGCCTGGGGCTCTGGGGCTGGTTCCTTCACTGAAATTCCGTTTATCTTCTTTCAGTGTTTCTGAGATTTACCATGGTGCAAAACAGCCTCTAACGCAGTGACAGGGACTTGTCCTGAGTTGTTTTGGGGCAGTGTGTCCTTGGGGTTCTCTTGAGGGTGCTGCCCCCCTGGTCAGGCACTCCTGGGTACAGGGTTTGGGTCGTGCCTTGGCATCCCATGGGTCACATGCAGTGTCACAGCCCTGTGGGCTCTGCTGGTCTGCCTGCTGCTCTCAGGGTCCTGTACAGAATCTGTAATCCACATTTAATGGTTTAATTCCCTTTGAGTGAAGGGACAGTGTGAGCCCACCTCGGCCATCCCCTCAGGCTGCCACGCTGCCTCTCCTCTCGTTTTTCCCACAGGCCTCTGGCTGTACCTGGCTGGGAGTGACCTGCCCTGCCTGACCCTGATTGGCTCTCCAAATTTTGGATATCGATCAGTTCATCGTGATTTGGAAGCCCAGGTTGCGATAGTGACAGAAAATAAAGCCTTGCAGCAGCAGCTCCATCAGGTAAGCAGTGGATTCTGGGGAGGCAATGGGGATGTTGTGCTTCTGGGTTACACAGGGAATGCTGATGACGCAGTGGCAATAAAAACATCCAGCTGTAATAACTCAAAAGCTGCTGGAGCATGAGGAGTCCTGAGGAGCTGTCAGTGAAGTGACTATTGATGAGCTGCCTGCTGTGAGTGCCCAGTGCTGGGAAATGAGGCTGTAACAGGAAGGAACGTGTGTCCCCAGTGACCTCGGATACCGGGAGTGCTCAGGGCTAGATGTGCAGAGAGTGTTCAGGGTCTGCTGGCTCCTCTGCTCACCGACCACACTGCACCTTCTGGGCCTTAATCCCAGCATTTGGGCATTGCCAAGGCTGTGCTGTGCTCTGGGGTAATGAGGCCAGACCTTGGAATGGTTGAACTTGGACTAGAAGAGGATTTCTGAGCTAGTTGGGTTGCCCAGGAAGTTCTATGACATAATTCATATCTTGAATAATAATATGACATTATATAATATTGAGACGATAATTTTTCAGTGGTTTGATGTTCAGTGTCCCAGGGCTTTTCTGTGCTGTTTTTGATTTAATTAGGAAACTTGGAGTGCTCAGCAGTTCTGCTCCTGCTCCAAGTCCTGCCTAGTTCTGTAACTGTCTAGACTCCGAATCTTCTGCTAGAACTGACTGTCCCAAGTTGTTTCTCCTGTAGTGCTCTGCAACAAAGCAGATCGGTTTGGTGCCTCTGTGTGACTTGGGGACCTTAGAAACGCACTCTGTGAGGCAGGTCCTGGCAGAGTTGTCTGCAAGATCAATGGGAATTGCCCTCTTGCATCAGGGCTCTTCCCCAGGATGAGTCAGAGTGTATCTAATCAAAAACAATTCTATTACTGGAAGAGTTGCTTGAATATTTCAATTCATATCTTGCCTCTGCTTGTTTCTAATGGAAGGGGAGAATCAATGGAAATGTGACACAAAGGAATTTTCTCATACAGGGCTGCAGTGATCTCATTCAAAGGGCTTTAAACCATTCCCGATTGCTGGAAGCTGATTCTGAGATGGACTGGGTGTTTACTTTCTGTGGTCTTTTTTAGAAGACAATCCGTTCCTGGGATGCTGCCACGAAATCACTTTGTCTGTGTAACATTTAGTTCCATTTTAAAAATGTGTGCTGAGATTTGGGAAGAAATGTGAGTGGTCTAGGTGCCTGGATGCTCCTCTGAATGGACTGAGCTTGATTCAGGGAACTGGCCTTGCCTCCAGCGCTCAATCCTCACTGTATTGCGTGGCCGTGGAGCAGGGCTGACTATAGCTCTTGGAGCATTTGAGGGCTCTAAAATTAGGGTGAATTAGCACATGAATGTCTTCCTTCTGTTGTTGGTTCATCTTTTTGGTGTTGCTTTGCAGTACTTGGTTCCTGCTTACCTGTTCCACCCTGAATTTAAGTAGTGCAGAGTATTTTCTACTGTTTGTGACAGCTTCACTAATGAGAAGAGACGATGAACAGACTTCCAGGACCTGTTCTGCTCCTCGTTAGCCTGCAGATCCTGAAACCTGACTGGCTGTGCTTACAAACCCACTTACCTGTGATCAAAGTGCTTCTCTCACGTGCTGTGAGCGTGTGTTATCAGCAGGGTGGTTCATTTCCTCCCTTAGCAGTCGGGTACACGCTGCGGGGGCCCGAGTGTTTCTGGTAATTTAGCTGAGATCACGACTGCACATTCATCTGAAAACGCGGCGCCTGAGCTGTGTCTAGAAAGAGCCGCGTAAGCCGGTCCCAGGAGGTTTGGGTGAGGTTTCCTTTTCTGGCAATTACAGCCAGGAATTGAGGAGTTTTCTGAAACAGAAGCTCAGCTCTTGCAACTGTGGAGCACAGAAAGGCCAAACCCTCTGCCCTTACTCTCTGTAGAGTTTAAATTGCTAATTCTTGAGGAGAAATGATGCAGCCTTTTGGCAGGATCCCTGGCCAGCTCTGTGTGAGAATTCACTTCTCTTAAAGACCGTTATATAATATAACACTTGGGATTTACTGCGATGATGTTTCTTTCCCTGTTTAGGAGCAGGAGCAGCTTTACCTCTGCTCAGGTGTGGTCTCAACATCAACGTTTGAGCAGCCAAATCGTTATGTGAAGCTGTGGGTGAAGCTGGTGACACCTCTGATCAAGAATTTCTTTTGAAAGAGGAAAAACTGCTGCTTTGGGTGAGTTTGTTGCCATTATGGGGAATTTATATTGTGCTGACTGCAGTGAATAGCTGTAGTGCTCTGTCACATGGAAGAAAGAGACAATGGACACACAGATGATGTGGGGGAAACCAGGCACATCTCTTTTCCTCTGAGATACTGACTGCCATGGACTGGGATGTGCTCAGTCCAGATTGAGTTTCATCTGCTAAAACTTCTGGATGGGTCACTGACAGAGAACCCATACAGAGTTATTTCCCACGACCCATACAGGGCTATTTTCCATGCATGGAAATAAACCTCCCATTTCTGAAGTGTGCCTTTCAGAGTTTTGTGGAGAAGGACTGTGTTTGTTTTATCTTGACCAGCCAATAGAAAATGTTGCCGGAATACCTAAAATGTTTTGTCGTATCCAGTCAGAGCTTTGCTTTGCCCCTGTAGGTGTTGGTTGACAAGGGCAGTTGGTTTTGCTTTTCTGCTTTGTGGTATCCTAGGTTTCCTGGCTGTTTGACTGCCCCATGACTCGAGCCCTTCTGAGCTTCAGAACATTGCTCTTGGACTGTTCCTGTGCATTTGGCACTGGTGTGTGTGCCCAGGATGCTGTGTGTTCCTGTTTTATTAACCTAACTGTGGCCTCCCCCTCAGCCAGAAGTCAGGAGTGCCTGACTCCTTTACGTTCAGATGTGTTAAAAGTGTCTTTCATGAGTTGTGGAGGGGCAAGAGAAGACTTTTGGTGCTGATGTGGGTTTAGGGTGTTACTGAAAATGGGAGGCTTGAATCTTAACATCCTGAAAAGAAAGTGGTTGGAAGCCAGGTAAAAACATGTGAGAGCGCAGGCTGGGGCTGCTCTGTGTCACTGGTGGGGTGTGAGCAGGGGGTTCTGATCTGATAGTGCCACAAACAGAATTTTTGGCACCTAAGAAAGGCTGAGGGTAAGTGTGAAGCTCGGTAGTAACTGATGATAAATGCTGCTACTCTATAAAGAAAGGAGCAGCTCTCTTTGCCTGCTCTTTGGGCTTCTCTGACCATGAGCTATGAGGGAAGCTTTAGGCAACTGTATTTTAGTACTAATTGTTCAAATATTTCACAGGGTGGGATTTTGGTGAATTGATTTATGCTAAAGGGACAGGCCTTGGCCCTAACATGTGTTACTGTTGATACAAATGATTTGTTGTAAAGAAAGGACAGAGTAGGTTCTATACCCTAGAAACAGAAATAATGTACCTCAGAGAGTGACCTGTTTTCAGCTGGACCTTCTCCGGGTTGTGGAGGTGGAGTGTGAGTGAACTGGGCTAAATCTGCACCTTTCTCCTCCTGTCTGCTCCAGCCAGACACGTGCTCTGTGCCAGGAGTGTGAGGAGTTTCTACTCACTTTGCACTGAGCCATCACACAAAGAGCTGTGGGAAGACAGAGAGCCAGGAGAGGGAAAAGAGTCGGCCACTTATGTGCAGTTGTTCCGTTTGGCTTCCCACGGTGGTCTGGCTCCCCACCAGCACCACATCAGAAACCACCAGTGGAAAACCAGTATCCGCCCCGAGAACCCCGTGTGCTGCAAGAGCAGGGTCCACACGGCAGCGCTGCCAGCATTGGTTTTATTGATACTTTGCTAAAATGGTTCTGAACTACACAACTTTTACAAGTAAAAACATTTGCTGTCTTCCATTGACATTAAAATTCAGGCCTCTAGGAGCAGAGCCACACCAGCCAGGACCCACTTGGCAGCTTTTTCTTTTGTCTTCAGGTTGAAGGTCCAGACGTAGGTGGGCCCTCGCATCCGTGTCTTATAGACGGGACATTCATAGATGTTGGTGGTGTCCACGCGGTCCACAGGGATGGCTCTGAGCAAGATGACTGGCATCGTGGGCGTCAGCTCCTTCAGCAGCGCGTCCGCAATCGACCCTGAGGCCACATCCCAGCGCGCACCTGCAACGTGACAGCGGCGTCACGACCCTCACAGCTGCCCGGGGTTCTCCCTGCAGGGGCTTTGTTCGGAACTACTGATGGGTGGGAGCTGGAAGGTGAAGGTTGGGTAGAGCGGCTCGGTAGTGGTTAGGGCTGACGTGTCCTCAACTCACTGTGACCCAGGACTGCATTTGCCTTACTGTGTGTGGGATGTCTGAATAAATTCTGTCCCCACCCCTCCCTTCAGCTCGGCTTTGCATGGGAATTGCAGAGCTGAAGGTGAACTAGCTGTGGTGGGATCTACCACATGCTGTCCTGTGTGCTCTGTGCTCTTGTCCAAGCAGACCCTTCAGCTCCTCTGCTGAACTGCCTCCTTCCCCCTCATTGCAGTAGTAATTATTATAGGTTTGAGTTTTCCAATTTGTCTTACTCGTACATCAAATAAGAATGTGACATATTTAATCATTACAGCCCTGGGGCTGCAACCACTCCAACCCTGGGGCTCATGAGCTGCAGCCTGAATTGCCAAACACAAGTTTCTGGTTTGTAAAGGCTGCGTGGTCCCCGGACAGTGCTGCCCTCAGCTGGTGTCTGAGTCTGGAGCCAGGGCAGGGCAGATTGGCCAGCAAGTGCCACCACCTGCTCAGCTGCAGGAGGGAGAAGGACTGAGCTGGTCCTGCCCTATGTCTGAAACATCTCAAAGGTGCAGTTTTTACCTTCCATGAACAGCCCGTGCACATAGGAGCCTTCTCTGGGTGGAAATGTTATGTCCTCCCGGGTTTTCTTGGTCACGTCTGTCGCCAGACACATCTTATCCAGTGGCCACTGCTTCTTCCTGGCTGTGGACTGCATGATGGCTGTGAGGAAGGACTGGGGGTTGAAGAATCCGGCCAGCCACACTGTTGCAGGCAGCACAAAGTC